CTGCTCCGCGGGAAGCCTGCTTCTCCCTCTCCCACTCCCCCTGCTTGTGTTCTCTCTCTCACTGTGTCTCTCTCTGTCAAATAAATAAATAAAATCTTAAATAAATAAATAAATAAAAGAAACATGGTGGTGCGATACAGACCTCCTTCCCTACCATCTGCCTGGTGGGGAATCCCTGTCCAGAATTCCCATTTGACTCTGAGTATCTACATCCCTTATATGGACATATGTGGTATTTCTTATGCTGCTATTTAACTTCTCAAACTTAATCTTGTCTCTTCAATTCTCTAGACCGTGGGTACAGTGCCTAGGACATAGCAAGTTCTTGGCAAATGGCCCAAGAAAGAACATGTCACCTCTGTGCCCATGACCCTGTGGGCTGCCTGAGCATGGACTGGTTGGCTCCACAGGTGTGGCATTCAAGCTCAGGCCAGGCTTGAGACTGCATGTTGTGGGCCACCTGTCAATCTTGCCCCATTGAAGATGCTTATTGTTGCTGCTAATTATTGTTGAGTGATGGGCCTGTTTGTTTAAAGCATAGGTTACTACCCCCACACCCAGAGGCAAAGCCAATCCTATGGCATCCTATAATTAATGAATCAATAAGTATTTCCTCTGGCTTTGATCCAACAGATCCCTTCCTACTTCTTCCACCACCCTCACCCCATTTACAACTTCCCATCTTGGCTATTGGAGGCCTCCTTTGGAAAAGCACCCCCTTCATCAAAACTATGGGCCTAATCAGAATAGTCCTGTGTCCCTGGTATCCCAAGCTTGACTCACCAGCTCCTCCTTGTCCTTCTGAGTGATCAGGTCTGCTCTCATATTTAAGCGAATCTGTCACCCAAGCAGTCCAGCCTATAGAATGAAAGAGCCCTAAGAGACCATTGTGGGAAGGACACAGGATTTTTTATGCAAATTCAGTAAGTTAATTTTCATGTTGTCCATAATCTCTGTAATCAGTACTCACTTTGGTTAAACTGTCTGGAGAAAAAAAAAAATACAAAAGCCATCAGAAATGGGAGAGTCAGAATCTGGGAGAAAAGACCAGTCAACTGCTTTTTTTCCCCTCCTTGTAAAGATATAAACAATCCCTGGTGCTCCAAAGGTTCTAGAAGTAGCAAAGCAGGGAGAGAGGTCCCGCATGTGCTTACCATGAGCATATCTGGAGATCAAGCCTAGACTGCCACCATGGGAACCTTGGACTAGGTACTACACAGCTCCGTGCCTCGGCTTCGTCATCTGCAAAATGAGATGATAATAGTGGAACCTGCCTCACAGACTTGTTGTGGGGATTAAATGAGTTAATGGAGATAAAGCACTTAGAACAGTTGCTACAAGTGAACAAGACATAAGTGTTTGCCACTGTTAACAGAAGGAGTCACACGGTGACAGCCATGTTGAACTGTCTGCCCTTCTGTAGCCAATGGTTTCTCAGCCTCAACACTATTAACATTTTGGGCTGGGTAACTCTTTGTTGTGAGCAGCGGTTCTGTGAACTGCAGGATGTTTAGCAGTATCCCTGGCCTCTCTCTACCCACTATATGCCAGTAGTACCCCCCTAACCCTCCGACATACCAATTTGCAACAACCAAAAATATCTCCAAACATTGCTAAATGTCCCCTGCCAGTGGGGTTGGGGTGAAATCGCCCCTTTCAGAACCACTGATATAGTCCTATAAAAGCCACTGTCAGGGGACACCCAGCTGACTCAGTAGAGCATGGACTCCTTTTTTAGAGGGGAGGGGCAGAGGGAGAGGGAGAGAAGAATCTTAAGCAGGCTCCATGCCCAGCATGGACGGAGCCTGAGGCAGGGCTCAATCTTGCGACCCTGAAATCATGACCTGAGCCGAAATTAAGAGTTAGACGCTCAACCTACTGAGCCACCCAGGTGCCCCTAGAGCACCTGACTCTTGATCTCGGGGACATGAGTTCAAGCCCCACATTAGGTGTAGAGTTTACCTTAAAAGGGGAGGGGGGCACCTGGGTGGCTCAGTCAGTTGGGTGGCTGCCTTTGGCTCAGATCATGATCTCAGGAGTCCTGGGATTGAGCCCCACATTGGGCTCCTTGTTCAGCGGGGAATCTGCTTCTCTGTCTCCGTCCACCCCTCCCCCTGCTTGTGCTCTCTCTCTCTCAAATAAATAAACGAAATCTTAGCCACTGCTAAAAAAAAGAAGCTATGCCACACACTCTGAGCAGGTCTGGTATGGATCCCGGACTGAAGGTCCCACAATGGGGCCCCTTGTGGTTTGATGTAGGAGCTGCAGGTGGGGAAGTAAAGAGTGGCCAATTCCGTCTCTGTAGATAGCTGCCATTTTCTCTCCCTGCAGATGGAATGGGAAACTGGGGCCATTCTAACTGGGAGGGACCCTCACCCCTGAGAGACTAAGAGGGTACAGAGAGAAAGGGAGTCCAGGAGCTGACTTCTCTGGCAGCTTGTGTCTGTGGCCTTAATTAGAGAGAGCCCTGTCGAGCCCAGAGGGGAGAAGGCCATATAGGATTCAAACTTAAAGCCTTGGCCATGGCAGAAAACATGCTCTCACCTAGTGAGGCCTCTGGGCACAGGAGCCTCTGCAGCCCCTCTGTTCTTAGGAAACAAGCAGGCTCTGCACTTGATTATGAAAAGAAATACACTACTCTTTTCATAAAATAACCTCCTGACCACATAGCACTATTAAAACTTGACATGCACTTATTTTGACCCAGGAGTTGCTACAGATGTATTCTATGGCTATATTAGCCAGGTGCACAGCATCTACACAGGGCCTGTGGTGTCCTAATCTAGAGTACAGGCTTGGGACTTCACTGCCCTGTTCAAATCCCAGATCTACCACCTACCAGATGGTGACTACAGGAAAGTTACTGATTTCCTTGTGACTTAATTCAATCATTTGTGAAGCAGGGGCAATAATAGGGCCTATGTCACTGGACTATTACAAGGGATATGTGACTTACTACATGCAAAGAATAAGGTCTATGGTCAACAAATGTTAGATATTATTATGTTCATTGTGCCCTTAACTGGTAATAGCTAAAAATCTGGAAATGTATGCCAATCAACTGGTTACATACATGTGGCACATCTAGTCTATAGAATACTGGGCATCATTAAAAGAAATGAAGTTGAACTATATCTACTTAAATGATAGAATTCATTTAATAAGATCAAATTGCTAAATAATCAAATATGTTGCAGATAAGTATATATAGTTTGGGATTATTTGTATATAAAAAGAGCTCTATAGTAATGGATAAATGTCTTTATCTGCATAGAAAAATTTCTAGAAGAACCATCAAGAGGCTGTTGGCGGGGCACCGGAGTGGCTCCGTCGGTTAAGCGTCTACCTTCAGCTCGGGTCATGATCCCAGGGTCCTGGGACTGAGCCCTGCATCGGGCTTCTTGCTCAGTGAGGAGCCTGCTTCTCCCTCTCCTTCTGATTGCCACTCCCCCTGCTTGTGCTCTCTCTGTCAAATAAATAAATAAAATCTTAAAAAATAAAAAAAGAAGAAGCTGTTAGCAATAGTTGTATCTAGTGAGTAGGAACAGAGGACTGGAGAACTTTTGCTTTCTCCTTTGGTACTGTTAAAATTTTCTGTGAGCATGTATGTTTTTGAAAATAATTTTTTTTTTAAGATTTTATTTATTTATTTGTCAGAGAGAGAGAGAGAGCACATGCAGGGGGAATGGCAGGCAGGGAGAGAAGCAGGCTCCCCACTGAGCAAGGAGCCCGTGTGGGGCTTGATGCAGGGCTCAATCGCAGAACCCTGGGATGATGACCTGAGCTGAAGGCAGACAGTGACTGACTAAGCCACCCAAGCGTGTCCCTAATATTGTTTTTTAAGATTTTATTTATTTATTTGAGAGAGAGAGAATGAGAGACAGAGAGCATGAGAGGGAGGAGGGAGGGTCAGAGGGAGAAGCAGACTCCCTACCGAGCAGGGAGCCCGACGCGGGACTCGATCCCGGGACTCCAGGATCATGACCTGAGCCGAAGGCAGTCGCTTAACCAACTGAGCCACCCAGGCGCCCCCTAATATTGTTTTTTAAAAAAGAACAAGATAAATTTATATCTACTGATGTGGAAACATTTTTAAGATATATTGCACTTTTTTTTCAAAAGTGGCAGAATATGAATAGCACAAGCCACAGGAATGAATCTCGGTTCACAAATTCAAGTGTGCAGGACACCAAACTTCAGTTTCTATAACTCAACTCAATGTTTATGGTCAGCTTCCATTGTGCCAACAGGAAACTCAACTCTAGGTGTGTCTGAGTTCTCCAGAATACTGAGAAGTGCCAGCAAGGAACACAGGAGGTGGCTGTGAAGCTGGCTGAAGCCATATCCAATAGCCTCTGCCACTCTCTGCCACCCACGGGCATCCAAGAATCTTGGACCAGGCTGCCTGTGTCCCTACAGCTTGGTCCCAACATGCGGTCCCACCACGTGGCCACCACTCTCTGGAATCTCACTCCTGCCTGCCCAGGTGATCTGCTAGAAGGCAAGGTGGGACTCTGGAGACCACAGATCTTTCTCCCCTGTCTCTCCTGCCCCAAGCCTGTCTGGGGAGGAGAGCTCTGCAAAGCGTTGGGGGTCTTTCCACTCCAGGTGAAATCCTTCTTCTTTCTTGTTTCTAGTCAAGGTATTCAGTCTGTGCAAAAGAATCCTTTTCCTTCAATGAGCTATTCCACAAACCCTAAAGTTCTCCTAAGCGCATAAGCTTTTGGCACACAAAAGCCAGAGACACCTGAAACTTGATTCCAATTTCTAATCTGGGGAGCTAGTTCAGGAGGAAATGAGCTCCAAGGATGTGAGAGTGGGAAAGGGGAAAATCCACAAGGAGGAAAGTGATTAATTTCTCAAATATTATGCCAGCCACGCAGATGTGTAAATGCAGAGCAAAAAGTCTGAACATTCGCACCAAAGAATTAACAGTGTCTACCTGTAGGGTAAGCTTTTAAGATAGGGCAAGGGCTAGAAGGGGAGCTTTCCCTTTTTATTGTATGTATTTCTAAACTGCTTTTGTATTTTAGTGATGAAGCTCTATTCAGTATTGCATATATCATCTACTATTTGAAACATATAAATACATATATATTTTTCCCTCCAGGCTGGAGTTGGAGGGTGATGCAGGTCACAGCTGTTTAGCCCACTGAAGAGCAGAACCTTGGGGAGTGTATTTGCATGAAGGGCTGAGAGACTTGTTAGGAAAAATAATTCTTTCTAAGGGAAGAAGGAGAAGAGCACAGTGAACTGACCCGGGGCCAAAGCTTTGCTCAGTGGAAGGGGGAAGTAATCCTGAGCTGAAGCAGTAGCTGATGGACACACACCCGTGGGACCAAACCTCAAGACCCTATAAAGCAATGGGGGCACCAGCAGCCTCACAGCCCTGCTCCTACAGAGGAGCCAGCTGACCTCATGCCAACAGGAGTGGCAGTGGCTCCCAGCAGGCGTGGGGTGTCTAATGGGTGGGACAATGTCCAGCAGAACTGATAGCTTCATGGGGTGTGGCAGGGGCAAAGGGAGGCTGCAGAGTGGAGGAGGGGAAAAGATAGCTGGGAGTGGGAGGGTGTAGCTGTCTAACCTTATCCACCAGCACATGGGAGACACACACCCTGGGGACGCCCAAAATGCTCACGGGGTGAGGCTGTGGGAGGTAGGCAAGACCTGGAATTCTGCACTGGCAGGTAGGAGCAAGAGTCAGAGATACACGTGGACAAGCTCTAATGATGTGATGAGTGCACAGGTGTCCAGGTGTGTGCACAGGCGGGGAGCACCAGAGAGGGAGCCACAAAGTCTACATGGGAGGGGTCAGGGAAGGGCTCCTGAGTCAACTGACGTTGGTAGTTCAGAGTGGGTGGGAAGGGTGGATGGCATGAAGAACTGCATGTGCAAAGGCCTGGAGCTGTGCGGGAGCTAGCCAGAGACTGGGGGAACTATCTGAAAGCACCTCAGACTCAATACAGGGGAGTGGTCAGTGAGGCCACACAGACTGTGTTCCATGATAAGGAATTTGAACTTTATCCTGCTGGCAATGGTGAAGCTCAGAAGAGGGCTTTATGCAGGGAAATGAGATGAACACATTACCAGGCAAATTTTTCACTACCACACTCCTACCACTCCTAGCTAACTCCCACCAAGTGTGCAGTCTCAGAGTGTTGCTTCCTCCAGGAAGTGTTCCCTGACCACCTCTTGGACACAGCTAGCCCTCAGCTCAGGCTTCTAGAAGCTCCCAAGCACCA